AAGTATATGGGCTTGTCATAAAGTAAGCTCATGAATTAAACGCATTCCACATGGCAGTGGGCGTATTTTACTGTGTTACACTCATGTACTGAATGTAATACATGTAATTAGTAATGAAGAAAGAAGGAGAAACTGCTTATCAAAATTAGCAAAAAAGATAAAAGGAAAATGATGCTTAACATACAGATACATCCACGTAGGCGTTTTGGACTCCGTAACTCCGTTATGTTGACATTCATGTTGTGATGATATTTCTTTCTTTTTTTTTACTGATGCGTTTTCTTTCGATTCTGGTATTTTGACAAAACATGTTGATACTTTATAATATTATGATACTTTGGCGTTATATACTAATATTTTTACAAACAAGTTGCTGAAACAAGAGTATCAGCAGTCTCGTTTAAAGTTATCATCTGTAAGTTCTATAGTCGATACAATGGCATTAATTGTCAGCAAATTCAATTTATCATTAAGTCAAATGCTGACTAAGAATGAAAAACTTAGTATATTGTTAGGCTATTATTTACACACTAAATGTCGATGTATTTTCCGTTACTTCCCGATCACACACTGAATCATTAATTAATTGCTTAATTAAAAACACATCTTTTTTTTAAATCTGCTTTCACTGGGCAACATAACAAGTATCATTTTTAACCATCTGCCTTCCTTCACTAAATCAACCAATCCAATCATTGATTGAATTTATTGGATTGACAAGGGGCACATGGCGAGTGTGACTGGTCGGCAGGGTATGCTCATTTCTCCATGGCATCTGATCCCACCTCTGATGATATGGTTGAGTAAACAACTGTTAACTTTGTTTCTTTCTTTATTCTCTCTTAGAATGGTGCGACATTCGTACTCGTGAAGACAATGAAAAAGAACTGGATAAACTTCCTGGGAGAAATAAAGATCATTTTAGAGTAAGGACTTTATTATATGATTTTATAAGATAAATTAGCTCTCATGGTTAAGTAAATTAAATCTTCAAATCATTCGATCAGGAACCACTGGTGTCTGTTGTGATATTTTTATTCTAAAAACCAAAGAGTGTTAAATACCATCTTTGCTAGCCAAGGGTTTCTGAAACGCTACTCTCCTCGTATTATATGGTTATTGGTACGTGTACGTGCATCAGTTAATAATTGTTCGAAACCATTCCTTTTTACCATTTTATATAAAATTCATATGAAAATTACCGTACTATATATGTGGCATACGTGTAAGAAAGTTAAACAAATGGAAGACATCGATCAGAATCAAATAACTATCCCCTCCTCACTTTTGAAAAAAAAAATTAAGAATTTTTTTCCAACAGAAAACTACAGGACTGCCTCTGAGTTCCTTGTTTTTATACACAAAAATTCCTTGGATAATTAAGAATGTTCCTGGTGTCAAAGAAGCCATTGATGAAGGAACCTGTATGTTTGGAACGGTCAACACGTGGGTTTTATGGGTATGTCAAAGTTTAGCATTTTAAAAGAGATTTTTAGGGCCCCGCAAGGATTTGCGGGTGCCCTATAGTAATCACTCTGTCCGTCCGTCTGTCCGTCTGTCTGTCTGTCTGTCTGTCTGTCTGTCCGTCTGTCACTCTTCCGTCCACAAATTTTCTGTTTTTTTCTAATAACTTTTTTTATGGTTGCCCAATCAAGTTCAAATTTGGTATGGTAGTTCAGTAGGCAGAAATACATATTTTGATGCTAGTTTGGTTCTCTATGTCTTGTGGTTTGGAGCTGGGGTGGTGGGGTAGATTCCTTAACTATGCATAAGAATGAATGGGCAACTATTTTTATGGTTGCCCAATCAAGTACAAATTTGGTATGTTAGTTCAGTAGGCAGAAATACATATTTTGATGCTAAGTTTGGTTTTCTATGTCCCCTGGTTTGGAGCTGGGTGGTGGGGTAGATTCCTTAACTTTATATACGAAAGCATTGGCAAAGAGAGATAACTGCTGAAGATGTTCCCATTGTAAACTGAATGCTGCTATGAGTCCCTTGGGATTAATTAGCTTTCCTCCTGAAGAAAATCCAGAGCATTATCTTTATCTGTCAAATTGAGATGAATTACCACCTCTGTCTGCAAATGAAGTTTGTTTTGAAGTTAAGTCAATTTGGAATGCTATGAACACTCTGAAATGTGGATTTAAATATATATTTTTATAATTTATTTTTGTTTAATTAAGTTATGATTTCATTGAATTCTAATAACAAGAAATAGATTAAAGAAGATTTTTTGATTTACTTTTTTCACTTTATGTTAATTCAAGAATATTATTAATTTTTAGGATAGTTGTATAAAAACCCCATTCTATCATTAATACTGAAAAAGTTCTTATTGTAACTTAAGAAGAAAATGATGAGAGAGGTACAATTAATCCCTTGGGATTAATTGTCTAGCCTGCTGCAGAAAATTTAGTAGGCTTTTCTTTTTCTGTCACTTTAAGATTAATGAAAACCTTGGTCTGCAACTGCTGTTTGTTTGAAGCCTTCATGATATTTGCATTCATTGAAGGCTGGCATTTTATATAACATAAGCTTCATAATTGTTTAAATATACATTCAATTTTAAGTTGTTCTTTACTGCCTAATGTAAATACAAGGATATTATTTTCAGGTTTTTGAATATTCAGGAATTATCTTGAAATTTTAAGAATACAGTTGCTGTTGCTTATTCTTCGTACATTTTTCAATCATTCCGTAAGCTGCACCCTATTAATTCTACCCCATGGCGGGGCCCTTGCTGACTGGTCAGTTTTCTAGTTTTTATTAGTAAACGGAAAATAATTACTGAAAAACCATCTGAAAATGGTCAGTCTAGCTCTGTCAGTTTGCAAAAAAGAAACAATTAAAGTTCAAAATCTTGTTTAAAACGAATTCTAGATGATATATCATACAAAACAATAATTTTTAGAATCTGACTGGGGGTTTGAATGGGGGAGTGTATTTAACAGACATTTCCAATGGACAAATTACAGGGTTGTGTAATTTGGAGACGTGTAACTGGGATCCAGAAATCTGCCGGTTAGAATATTTTCCAGTTATCTAAGTATCCTTGCAAGTTTTTAACTTAAAAGTTAAACAATAAGTATATAAATATTCCAAATATTATGTAAAGTTATGTGTCAGTCATATTTCTGAACAATAATATTCGTTTAAACTACATAACACATTTTTTGTTTTAGTTTTTTGCTTCTGAAAGTGTGTCATTTAATGATTTGATCGATATTTGTGTTAAAAAGGCGTTTTTAACGCAAAGAAATTATTGATGATTATGTTTTATCAGATATTTTGGAATTCCGCACGATGTATTTGCTGAAATTAGGAGTACGTCCGAAATTTACGGTTATATAAAACAGGGACCACTAGCGGGAATTCCGATTTCTGGGGTAATTTACAACATGAACATTGTACTATTAAGATGCGTACAAATTTAAATGATAACAACGCAAAAAATATATTTCTTTAACTTTAATCTAACTATCTGTTTGAAGATGATCGGGGATCAAATGGCGGGAACTGTTGGACAGTTGTGTTTTAATAAAGGTCAATCTAAATGCACGTGAGTAATTTGACTATTGCATTAAACTAATATACATGTATATATTTAATGATTACGTTTTTTTATTTAAACCACCTATAAACCGATGGAGACACTTGTGTGTTTGTTAACGACAACAGGCGAGGGTATAACTTAATAACACTTTATAAAAAAGAACACAAAATCGCATTCTAGAGGACGAATTTGTTACGATATGAGATGTTCAAAATTATCCTTGGATTAAACTATTGAATACTCGATTGTTAAATATTTTATAATATAGAACAGGGGATGCTCACTCCTCCATGGCACCTGATCCCACCTCTGATGGATGTCTGTGATTGCTCTCCTCCTGCTTTATATTATGAACTTTCATTTCTGTTTGTTTTCTTCATATATTTCATGAAATGCTATATTTGCAAATGACCGTCTTAAACCAAGGTCATATCTTTTTGTATTACCATAAATTATGCCCTAGATCTAACTTTTAAAATTTGAATAAATTTTATTTTTATTTTTGTTTTTCTTGATTTTTGTTGCGAGTGACTAACTTCTTGTACAGCAAACTCTATCTTCCGATGAACATTCAATTATTCATTCAAATATGGTAGACAATAAGGTAGAGTGGAACTGTATTGATCTTGGTAATGAAAAAAATCAGACAATTGATTCTGCTATTCTTCATAAAAACTTAAAAGAATAGAAATGCTTTCAAATGTACATTATAAACCAATTTTGCAGCAAATCTGCTCAAACAAACAAACTCTGCAAAGTTCAGTGATTCATATTTTAGTCTCTTTTCTGACAACTCAAACTCTTTCCTTTGTAAAGATATCGAGAACATATGGTAAACTTTTATATTATACAATCTTAACGACTAAAATGCTGGACGTGTATTAGATCGAAATTTTTGATCTCGACATTTATTTTTCCTTCCTGAAATAACCACTATGATGTTTAAGCTTATAATTTATTTTTCTTTCACAAGATTATGCAAAACACAAAACTTGAAATTTTATTGACAATAATTCTGTCACATTTTTCTTCGATTTTAGATATGGAACGGCAGGGTGCTTAAATATAAACACAGGTACTAAGGTAAGTATTAGGAGTTAGTGTTAGTAGTACTGTTAGGACCGAAATTTCAATCATTCTGAAACTTCACCAACATACCGGTGGAATTTCTCTATTTATTCTTTGTAAATGGTGTGAATGCTAGAAAATGAAATAGTATGATTACAGTATAACTTGAGTATCAAACACAAGGTTTTGTTTACTGAAAATGATTTTCAATTTATATGACGTAAAATGATTGTAGGCTGTGTATTCTAGCTGTGGAATGATGACTTCTCCCCTCTTTCAACTTGGAAAGTCAGCTCCAATACTCTTTACTCTTTGGGTAAGTACACAACAAAAGAATATTACAGCATTGTGCCAATGTAACCTGCTCGTAAACAAAGTAAACGTTTTTCTCGGTATTGGGGCTATTTTGATAAGTGGCGACAATTCCTCTGACACAATTTAGATAAAAAGTGTTTTGTACATGGACATGTCTCTCATTGTAGGGAGCCATTGAAGGATGTGGACAATTGATGCGATGGTTAAGAGACAATCTACAAATCGTCAAATCTGCCCAAGAAATTGGTACAAACACAAAATATAAGACAGAGAAATTGAAATTGTTTAACTTGATGTAGCTTGAGTATTCGATCGATTTTCTAAATGTAGTTTTATCGTAAACATTCCATTCTTTCATCTTCAGAAACCTTAGCAGCTTCTGTAGATTCGTCACATGACTGCTTTTTTGTTCCCGCATTTGGGGGTCTTCTTTGTCCCTACTGGGAGGATGACGCCAGAGGGTAACCGAACATAACTTTGGAAGACTGCATGGTTCAATAAATATAAGAAATATTTTTTTTTTTAAAACTAACAATTCTTTATAAATGATATTTACATTATAAACAATATGGATCTTGTAGACTAGAGTTCATTTAGTATGTAATTAGAAAAGATTTTTAAGACAAATGCAGCAAGGTTGATTAAATAATATTTGAACATAAAAAAAAATTTAAATATAAAAAAAGTCTTACAAATTATTAAATTAGACTAACTGTTAGCTCATTTTTTTCTAAATGTTATTAAAAAAAACCTTTACCTTGTAGAACAATAGTGGGAATGACGGGGTACACTCAGAAAGAACACATCTGTAGAGCGGCTCTGGAATCTGTGGCCTTCATGGTGAAAGATGTGAGTTGAACATATATTTTATGAGAGCCAACAATTCATAATTATGTTCCCCAAACGAAGTTGGGGAACATATTGTTTTTACTCTGTTTCTTATTATTATGTTCCCCAAACGAAGTTGGGGAACATATTGTTTTTACTCTGTTTCTTATTATTATTATTATGTTCCCCAAACGGAGTTTGGGAACATATTGTTTTTACTCGGTTTCTTATTATTATTATTCTTTTTTTTCTTCTTTGTTCTCCGGTACTTTTTTGTCCGCGAGTGTTCTCAGAAACTGTTCATCCAACTGAGCTAAAACCTTTTTAGGGTTAATAGGTGTGTAGTGTAGGTGTGCGGAACGAAGGTCATTTTGCGCGCATTCGCATGCACGTGCGTGCGCGTGAAGTGAGTGAAATGACTGATATACTTAATATGGCCATAACTTTTACATTTTTTGATGTAATGCTTTGAAACTCATTACATAAGGATATATTAATAGTGTTAATAATATGACACTGTCAAATTAGCACGAACTCACGCGCATGCACGTGCGCCTTGCTCTGATTGGCTGAGACAAAAATCTCAATTTCTCTTTTGTTTTTTGACGAAATGTTTTGAAATTTTAAATGTTGTCATGAATTAGGACATCCTACAACATAGTATGGAAAAAATTTCATGAAATCACGCGCATGCTCGTGCGCTGCAATCTGATTGGCTGAAACTTTAAATGGCTATATCTCCTTTGTTTTTTGACGAAATTCTTTGGAATTTAAAACATAGTCTTGCATTAGGATATCCTGCAATATGATATACAAAATATTTCAAGAAATCACGTGCATGGACGTGTGCTGCAACCTGATTGGCTGAAACTTTAAATGGCTATATCTCCTTTCTTTTTCGACGAAATGCTTTGAAATTTAAAACATATTCATGCATTGGAATATTCTACAATATGATTTAGTAAAAAATCATGAAATCACGCGCATGCACGTGTGCTGCAATCTGATTGGCTGAAACTTGAAATGCCTATAATTCCCTTGGTTTTCAACCAAACAGAATGGGATTTAGAATATAGATAGATATAAGGGCGTCCTACAAGAAGGTATGGTCATCATGCACGTGCACGCACGTGCGTGCATTTGGAAAGAGTGAAATTAAAAATACACTTTAATGAGTGATTTTTAATAATGTTGGACTAAATGGTTTAAGATATAGTATATTTAAATTTATAGAAAATTGTAGACAAGATGATATGATCATTGCGCACGCGCACGCCTGCAATGTTAAAAATTGAATATAATTGGTATCCCTCTGCGAAAACGTTGTTAAAGGCAAAAATGCACAGATGTTGTCTTATTTCATAAGGCTTACATGGAATATGGCACCAAAATTGAGTTGGGGAGCGTTTGGGGAACATCTGTAACGGTTCCCGTTACAATTAGCACTAGTTATTATTATTTTTCTTCTTCTTCCTGGGTACTTTTTTGTCCGGGAATGATCTCGTAAACTATACATCTGACTAAGGTGAAATGTTTTTCGGGTCAGTAGACATGTTATGTAGATTTGCGGAATGAAGGTCATTTTGCGCGCACGTGCTTGCAAGAGCGTGCACGTGCAACATGTGGAATGACTGATTTACTTGATATAGGCGTAACTTTTTAAATTTTTGATGAAATGCTTTGAAACTTATAATATAAGGATATATTAGTAGCATAGACAATATGACATGGTCAAAATAGCAAAATCTCACGCGCATGCACGTGCGCTTTGCTCTGATTGGCTAAAACTAAAGTCTCAATATCTTTCTCGTTTTTTGACGAAATCTTTTGAAATTTTGAAAATAGCCATGCATTAGGATATCCTACAACATGATCTATATAGCAATTATCATGAAAACACGTGCATGCACGTGCGCGGCAATCTGATTGGCTTAAACTTTAAATAGCTATAACTCCCTTGATTTTCAACCAAACAGGATGGTATTTGGAACATAGATAGATATACTGGACTACTACAAGAAAATATGGTCACCATGCACATGCATACACGTGCATGTACGTGCGCTGCATTCTGATTGGCTGAAACTTTAAACAGCTATAACTCCCTTGGTTTTCAACCAAACGGGGTGGGATTTAGAACATAGATAGATGTAACAAAAAGGTATGGTCACCATGCTCATGTCTGCACGTGCGTGCACGTGAAATGAGCAAAATCAAAAAAACACTTGAATGAGCGTATCTTTTTAATACTTTTGGATTAAATACTTTAATATTAAGTATATTAAAATATATAGATTGTGTAGACAAGATGATATGGTCATTACGCACATGCATTCACATGCGCACGCGTACAATGCTAAAATTTGAATGAACTTTGTACACTTCTGGGTAAACGTTTTTAAGTTTCAAATGCATCGAGTTTGTTTTATTTATTGAAGCTTCCAGGTAATATGGCACCAAAAGGGAGCTGGGGAGCGTTTGGGGAACATCTGTAACGGTCCCCGTTACAATTAGCACTAGTTATTATTATTATTATTTTTCTTCTTCTTCTTCCTGGGTACTTTTTTGTCCGGGAATGATCTTGTAAACTGTTCATCCGATGTAGGTAAAACCTTTTTAGGGTAAGTAGACATGTTATGCAGATTTGCGGAATCAAGGTCATTTTGCGCGCACGTGCTTGCAAGAGCGCGCACGTGCAACACTTGAAATAACCAATATAATAGATATAGTCGGAACTTTTCTATTTTTTGATAAAATGCTTTGAAACTCATAATATAAGGATACATTAGTAGTATAGACAAGATGGCATGGTCAAAATAGCAAGATCTCACGCGCATGCACGTGCGCTTCTCTCTGATTGGCTGAAACTAAATTCTCAATATCTTTCTTGTTTCTTGTCATAATCTTTTGAAATTTTGAACATGGTCCTACATTATGAAGATCTACAGCATGATATATTAAAATTTTAATAAAAGCATGCGCACGTGCTGTAATCTGATTGGCTAAAACTTTAAATGGCTATATCTCCTTTGTTTTTTGACGAAATGCTTTGAAATTTAAAACATAGTCATGCATTACGATATCCTAAAATATGATATAGAAAATATTCATGAAATCACGCGCATGCACGTGTGCTGCAATCTGATTGGCTGAAACTTCAAATGGCTATAACTCTCTTGTTTTTCAACCAAACAGGATGAGATTTAGAACTTGGATAAATATAAGGGACTCCTACAAGAAGGTGTAGTCATTATGCACGTGCGTGCACGTGAAATGAGTAAACTAAAAAATACACTCGAATGAGTGCATTTTTTAATACTTTTGGATTAAATGCTTTGATATTATTAAAATTTTCGATAGTGTAGACAAGATAATATGGTCGTTACGCACATGAACACGCGTGCAATGCCTATTTTTTTAATATATTTTGTATTTTTCTTGGAAGACCTTGATTAAGTCTAAATTCCATAAAGTATTTCTTATTTAATAGAGATAACAGGGAATATAGCACCAAAAGGGAGTTGGGGAGCGTTTGGGGAACATCTGTAACGGTCCCCGTTACAATTAGCACTAGTTTAATTTAATTTTTACACACCGGTCATACATATTTGTAAATGTATTTCACAATAAACCAGAATCTAAATATAAATTAACAGATTCTGGACGGTGTGGAGGTAGATACAGGTTCACGGATTCCTGAGTTAAAAGTAGATGGTGGTGTGACTGTAAACAATCTTCTGATGCAAATTCAAGCCAACTTTATCAACGAAGCTGTGGGTAAGAGAGAATTCAAGCCAGTCTCTAGAAACTTAAGTTTAAACGTAATTAAGTCGACTAAAACACTTGAATCTTTTTAATTAAATTCATATCAATTCTTGCTCGTCTTGAGTGTGGCTAATGAGAAAATTAAGAAAAATTAACATTAGATTGTGTGTTTCACATAGTACGGACTTCTATGGTTGAGGCGACGGCATTCGGGGCTGCTTTAATGGCAGGGGCCGCCGAAGAAATTGACATTTTTCATCCGTCTCCTGATAGAATGAAACTTGATGTTTCTTTTCCAATTCACGAAACTACATTTTTGCCGTCGATGGCTGATGATGGTAAATGTATACAGTTTATATTATTTGTTTTTTTAAAAAGCTTCTAATGAGTTATGAATTAATTCAAAAAGTCTTCCGAGAAGACGTTTGCAACAGCACTTAATGAATAACAGTGTTAACATGATTTGGTTGTGTTTCACATCTTTTATAAACTTTTCCCTTTTCAGAACGCACAAGACTTTCTAAGCGCTGGACAAAGGCGATTGAAAAGGCAAAACATTGGGTGTCAGACTAATTGCAGAATTAATCCAGTGTGTTTAGCTTGACCTAGCAAAACATGCGCAGTTCAAAAATAAAGGGTTCTTTGTACAACCCTAATCTGGGAAGTTCTATATTCATTCTAAATGGTTTAAATGAGACAGCTGTCAGGAGCAACATATTTGATAATTGCGTGAAAAAATACAACAATAATAGAAAGTGATTTTTAAAATTAAAATGAATATTCATAGAATGACGTGTCGGTAAAATGTAGAGTTGTAGAAAGGATTTTATGGATATCTGCTAGGGTAATGCTCAGATTGACATATGAAAACACAACTAAATGTTAAGGAATTGGAATTGTTCCTTTATTTAACAAATGAATTACGAAGTTTTATGCAAAGAAAAAAACATACAAAATAGTTAAAGATACAACAAACCTAAAGCACAAAAACATAATTCAATAGGAGTCGTGGCTTCTTAAACATTCCAAAAATGCCACAAACCTAAAAAAAAAAAAGATTATGAATTTTTTTATATACCATGTTTATTTAGATTGAATGTGCCTATACTGTTACGGTTATCGAATAAATGTATTAATCAACAACTGAACTGAATGGCAAACACATGACTTCAGTTTTTCTTATTTATGCAGTACATGTATTTACCATGTATGTAATTTTCCGTTTTCGCATGTGTATGATTTTTATGTATCCCAAGTTATAATATTCTAAAGACATGCTCTGGGTACAACCTTTTTTAATCGAGGTAGAATACCTACAAATAAGTTGATGTCATATTGATTTCAAAAATCTGGTGTAAAATAAAACATTTGATGTTATGATTACCCTGTTGGTAGTTATAACCTACTTTATGTTTACTGAATCAGATATAGTCTCAAAATTTTACAGCTTTGGCCAGGACAACAATGCACTAACTTATGAACACCTTTTATTGTTTATTAAGTCAAACTTCAAGGACAAGTCACAAGAACAAAAATCAGTGTATTTAAAAGGTCTTGCCACAAGCAACACATAGGTTTAATTTGAAAGCTCCATCTCATTCAAAAGTCATGAGCAAGGTTAAATTTTTTTGGAAAAGTATGTCAAACTTCAATTTCAAGGTACATGTGTAATGGGGTCAAAAAAATAAAGTGCATTCAGAAAGGTCTTGGTAGAGGTAATATACATATTTAATATGAAAGTCCTCATTCAAAAGTTATGGCCAAAGTTAATGCTTTTGAAAAGTGGTCAAGAGGTCATAAAATCATAGTATATTTAGAAAGGTATAGTCACAGCTAATATCTCAAAAAGTTATGGTAAATTCAAAGTAATGTTTAATTCTTTTAAAGTAGGTGAAACTTCAAGGTCACATGTCAAAAATCATACTCTATTTAGAAAGGTCTTGTCACAGGTAATATACATGTATAATATGAAAGCCCTTTATCTTCTCCTTCAGAAGATATGACCAGTCTAAAGTTTTTGTCACGGACTGACAGGCTAATAGACGGACAGACGAATGAGATTAAAGTCCCCTCCCTTTCGCGAAAGCGGGAGAAAAATTGTCTCGATTTAAAACATTTAAATTAAAATAATTGTAGAAAAGAAAAAAGGTTAGAGATTGTCCAAATATGTCCTTTCTTTTTCTTCTTAGCCATAACATTTTTATGCCACACATCTTCAATCACTTTATTAAATGAAATTTTGAAATGTTTTTAAAGGGGCATGGACACAGTTTCAACTGAAATTTTTCTTACCAATTTTTATGTTTACAATTCCTAACAAAGGCAATTCTAATGATCAGCAAGGATTTGAACATCATTTGTAAATTTACTAAGGAGATACAGAACTTAGAATTCTTCATAATGTAAACAAGGCTCGTGCCTTGTTTTTGTTTACATATAGAAATATCATATTTATAACAATATGAAATTCAGCAAATCACTAGAATCTGTCTAATTGTCATTAGAATTAACTAATCTGCTTTGAACGAACACATATTAGCATCTTCAACCTTTGTAAACAAAAACATGGCACGGGCCTTGTTTACATAACAAAGGTTAGGAGCTCTAAATCTGTCTTGTTTCTTGCCAACTGAAATTCGAAATTTTGATGATCATTAGAAATACCTTAGTTAAGTATTTGTAAACATAAAAAATGGAATGAATTTTTTTTGGCTGAAACTGCCAATGCCCCTTTAAGGACAGTTAAAATGTTTCATCGCTTTTTAAGCAAGAAGCAAATTAACTTAAAATTTTCTCTCTGAACTTGTAAAATACACAAATTTTTAAATGTACAAACAATTGCCTTTACATCACTGACCTTACAAGAAATATTACTATATGGAGAAAAACATATGTCATCCTTAAAAATGGATACACAATTAAACGCGAGTGTGAGCCGCGAAGTTATTTCATTAGAAAACAAGTATAAACATTCCAAGGGAGACGCACAACAGAAATAAATAGATGCTCATATTTCTACATCACAGATATAGTAAAGAACATAATACTTTTACGAAAACAAAAGTCATATGATTATTTGTAATACACATGTACATTTACAGGCTTGTGTTTTAGGGGGGAAATAGTTCAAATTTTGGTTTTGTTTGTTTATTTTTTTTTTTCATTTTGTTGTTGTTTGTTTGTTTTGTTTTTGTTTTTTGGTAGTCTTATTATTGTTGTATATTTTTCTTTTATTTTTCTTTTATTTTATTTTTGGCATTGAAATCTTTTTTTAAAATAAAAAAAACTGTATTAAAAAATATATTATTATTTGGATAAAAAATAAATAATGATGCTAATGTTTACATTAAGGACAGATGATACAAAAATATGGATGCCTGGATTGGTATATATTTTTGGCCTACTTTTGTTGTAAATGATACAAATAATAAATTTCTACAATATGAGAAATTGTAAACCTTCTATGATGTTCAAATTCTGCCTTTTTGCAAACATCCTTATTAATCTTTACACATTTTTTGCACTTCAAATCCCGTTATTGTGAAACTTTAAGTTAAAAAAAATTAAAAACTACGCTGTGTTATAACTTGTTCATTTCACTTATATAAACATGACTCAAGTAGTTATTTTCAATTTTTTTAGCAAAAAATTTGTTTGTATCATCTATCCTGAAAAAATTAATTCTATCATTTACTTTATCCATTACCTACCATGTAAATTGTACAAATTATAAAGGGTAATGACTTTCATATAAACTTGGTTAAAAAAGAATTGTGAGTGGCAACATGATAGACCCTTGGAAACACCTGAGGTGGGAACAAGTGCCGAGGAGAAGTCATTGAGTATATTCATAGTTGACGGTCACATAACGTGATACTTATGTATTGATCGGGTACATAGGGTATTTTATAGTCAAACAGTATAAAGGCAATGACCTAGTAACATGTCTAGTATTCTGCTACACTTTCGAAACCTACAAGCTATGCAATAGTTTACTAAAAATATTTATCAACTGTTGTTGGGTTATTGTTTTTTGGCTTTAATTTTTTTTTTTTTTTTAAACTTTACTTTGTATTAAACAGGTATTTCACGAACATCACATTTAACACGTATAAATATTATAAGTTTTATATATTATTTAAAAGAGTGAAATTAAAATTTATACTCTTGACCTTGATTTCATTATACCTGTATATATTTATATAAATATATATATATAACTTTTTTTTTAATTCAGGCCACCTTTTCTTGTGACAAAAGGATATATTTATTAGTTTGCAGTCCTTTTTTAAAACTAAATTCTTAAAGATAAAAGGTTGAAACCCATAATAAATACCATCTCTATTGTCCATTAAGTTCCAGGATTATCTTATTTCTTGGTTTATTTTTACTACATATTTCAGGGTAAGCCATAAATTTAGAATTATAGAATTACATTGAGATCTTATCATGATACAAGACCACAATAAATTGAGTATATTTCATAAATCTAACCGAACACTGGTAATTTTTTCCTGATTATCAAAGATATTTTTTCAACTCTATTGATTTAACGATGATAATAATGACTATTGTGATTACCGTTTTTAAGGATGTAACAAGTAAACAATAAAATATAAAACTGATGATTATTCATTTATTTCTATTTCAATTCAAGTAAAACAAAACAATATTATTCTTCAAAAAAAAAATAAATAAATAAATATCCTGTATCAGTGTGCTGTATACGTATTTGCACGTCCAGGCATTGTCCACTTCTATTAAAACTTACCATCTTTTTTATTCCTCTCAAAAAATTATATGTCATAGAATTTTTTCACACATTCAATATTCCACATATAAATGAAACTCAAAGGAAAATAAATATTTTTACTGAACAGAACGCCATTATTTCACAATGTATCAATCCGCCAGTTCTCAAAAACAGACAAAAATATCCGTAGTCTGTGTCCATTTCCAATTCAATGACCACATGCAATAACTGTCTAAATGATCAATTAAGTCTAGTTTGATAAAAGCATCATAAAATAAACAGAATCACTAATTTTATGCCCTTTTTATTCCATGATATCCCTTGGGAGATTCCATTTTTCGGTGTGTCAGCTCTCTACTCGGCTCTGATGTAGGTACGCAAAAATTGGTCGCCATGGATGAATTTCTCGCTGTGTGGTCCTAAATCTCGCGTTGTGTGGCCGATTTCGCTGCGGCCCTGCTTCCTGTCGATGCGACACTTTTTTACAGTGACGTCAATGTGCATTCATATCATCTTACAATTCCGATTGATTTTAAGCATTAAAGGATAAAGATCACAAAAAAACTTATTATTTCTCTTGTACGCTATATTTTTTTTTAATTTTAACAAAATATAGTGGGATATTACAATTGACATTTTCCAATTTTATTTGATATTTATTTTTCAATAAATGGATAAAGCGCATATAAAATTTTCAGTAATATCTGAATCGAGGGAAGATTTTATTGAACGGTTATATTTTGACTGAGATTTTTCTTGTCTCGTATCATGGCTCTTTTTTGTATTTTATAACCAAAACCTTAAAGCACACTGGTCCAGAAAATTATATAAACACATTAAATGAACAACATGTCCATTATATTTAAAAATTCCGTGTACAATAATTCTTCGTTATTAGAATTGGGATGGTGACCAGGAGCACAGCAAAATTTTAATTAAAAATTATTTATCACATTTTGCACTTCATTTGTATTTTGTAAAATTTCGCGGAAATGTAGATGGTTTTTACATTTTGAGGTTGACAAAAGTTATAAAGTCAATTCTGCAAAATTTGAGCTTTCGAAGTTTCGAAATCGCTGAGAAATCGAGGTTAGAATACATTAAGACAGGACTGTCATTTAAAAAAAAAAGACATTTTCGAAAAAGGTAGAGCAGAAAACAGCGGTAAAATTTTGTGTAGACATCGGGAAAACACCAAAAAGAAACCCATA